TCCTGGCCCATGGAAGCTAGAGGCATCTCTCCACTCAGGCAGCTGCTAGCTACTAAGGCTGACAAACCCAAGGTCGACAAGTGAAAAGGCACAGTCACAGTCCCAATGCTACCAAACCACACAGCAGGCCATTAATTCAAGTCCGCTGAAAGTCCCAAGGTCAGCAGAGCATGGCAGGCTGCTAAAAAACGACACAGCTACACACAGGGCTCACGTGTGCCATAAGCTAGAGACCATTCCCAAAGCTGCTTCTTATATGTGGGAAGCAGACCACAGCCCTAAAGCAGCTACTCAACTGCTCCAATAGATTCCACCATGGAATTAATTATCAGTCTTACCATGGAGAATAACTACATCCAGCTGCCCAGCCACTCAACCAGGCCCAGCCAAGTTGACACACAAATTTAACTACCACACTGGGACTAAGCAAAGAACTGGGTGATTAGTTGGGAATGGAGAATGAAGATGTCAAAGCTGCTTTCCTCTGACCCACCTCACCATGAGATTCGCAGATTGGGAGATCCAGAAATAAGACTAGAGAAAGACAAGACATGTCTGTCTTTCCAATTCTTAAAACAGACACTTTTATTCTCCCCCAAGGATTTCCAATTATGAAATAAATTATTATGCTGAAAGAAAACCCAGAGTACTGTACATTAATTACCCAACACCATATTCCACTTCATTGTTGTTGGGCAAGGTGCTTCTTAATTATCGTTTAGTTAACTACTCAAGAAGCCATCTTTCTGCTTTTATTTCTGCACACCAGATGCAACAAAACAAACCTGCTCCACAGTATGAAAGAGGGAACAGAGCAATGGACTAAGAGTGAGAACAACAGGGTTCTGATCCCAGCTCTCTCACTCCACAATGCCAACCGAAATTGCATTACTTCCCTGGACTCACGTTTCCTCATCTGTAAAACTGGCCAAGAAGGGAGAGCAGGGGCCAGGAGTGATTTCTGCCTGTGTTCAGCTGAACACAGGGATTCTGGGAAAGCACCACAGGGACCACCATGGGGGCAAGGAGAAGCTAAGTGGGCAGTCTCCCAACCACCACCTGTTAGTATGCGATGCCCCACTTTATGGCCCCCTGTGTCAGCAATCTTTAGAGAATGTTATCAAGTCTTAAGGATGATCATCACATCCCCAGGTCCCACCACCACCACCAAGTGAAAATTATGGATCTGGATTTTTGTCCTTAGTGATCTGCTGTCCGATTTCCTGAAGAAGGATATACCCGATAGCCGCATGGACCTGAAAATTAGCAGCACTAGTCCACGATCTTAAAAAAAAAAATTCACAAATGCACAAATGACACACACCCTTACGAATTTTGGGGGAAAATTAAACTTTCATTCTAATATTAAACTTGAGGTTGGAAGAAGGTAACCAGAGCTATTAGCCAATAATTCAAAAGGATTGCAGATACTTGTACAGTAAAACTGCAAAAGATGGTAAATGTGTAAGGCAGAAACCTGCCAGAGAAGGAAAACTCAAATATTGTCCACTAAAAGGAGCCATAGCAAAGTGGTAAGACTGAACCTTGTCAAAGAGGGAAACCTTGCAAGACCTGGAAAAGCAAGGCAGTCCCACTGAATTTCAGCTTTCACGGGTTTCTGGCAGGGGTGGTCAAAGGGGACTTTGGCCTTTTCTCAATGTTTTGTTTAAGGAGCAAGTATTCATGCATGTCTGGTATAACAAAAATTTATTTTTTAAAAAAATAAAAACACTTTAGAGGTTTACAAAACAATTCTGACAACTGATCTCTACACATATAGACTGTGGAAATGACAAAGGACACCCTGACTTCAGAGGCTTCATCAGAGGCCCCAGGACACACCAACTAGTGAGTGCCTAAACCTGGGCCAGTAGCACTACAAGCCTACACTTCCCAATTGTGGGAACTTAGACACTAATCAGAAGATTGAGTTGATTCTTCTTTGTAAACAGAAGAGAACAAGGTCATGGACCAATATGGGGTTTTCCAAACTGTATATGACAGTTTACAGCAGGTCTTGGGAAAATCAATTTAGTGAAGTTTTCTATTTAATATGATTAACTTGGGGATTTAACCCCCTCAAAAAAAAAAAAAAAAACACCAGCAAAACTGATCCATTGCAATTCATGGTGACCCCATGTGTTACAGAGTAGAACTGCTCCATAGGTTTGTCTTGTCTGTAATCTTTTGGGAAGCAGATCACCAGGTCTTTCTTCTGCAGAGCTGCTAGGTGGGTTTGAACCACAAATCTTTTTTTGTGTGTGATTTGGGTGAAAGTTTACAGAGCAAATTCATTTTCCATACAGCAGCTAACATACATTTTGTCTCATGACATTGACTGCAATTTCCCACAATACAACAGCTCCCCTCCCACTTCCTCCCATAGTTACTTCTTCCCTGTGTCCTTCCCTCCCATGCACTCCTGCCCTCCAAGCTGTCTCCCTGTGCATACACAGCCCTTCTATTCTCCCATGATTGTTCTCTCCAAGGAGTGCATCTACCTAATGTAAATGTTCAGCTCTTATGCCTGTCTTTTGTTTGGCTAGAAGTCACAGGAGTGGGTTCAATTTCAGACCTGAAGGGCAGCTAGGGACTATAGTCTCAGTGGTTCCATCAGGCTCTATCAGACTAGCAAACCTGATCCTTTTTTTTTTTTTTAATGATTTTGAGTTTTGTTCCACATTGTTTTCCCGCTCTCTCCAGGATCTCCTCCATAGATCCCCCTCTGAGTGAACCACCAATCTTTAGGTTAGGCAATTAGCACAAACTGTGCCACCAGGACCTAATTTTGGGATTATACTTTGTGAATGTATATATCTCTAAAATGGTATCAGTTTTGATACCAATTTTGTTATTACTTTATCAGACACAGTTACAGATTTTTGCTTCTATTTTATTAATATATACATGTGTGTGTATGTGTGTGTGTGCTGGATCACAATGTAAAGTATTTCTTACTGTGAGCTATGAAATATGTTTGAAAGTCCCTGCTTTAGTAGATACTAGGAGCAAGAGAGGAAGCTTTATCTTCAATTTGGTCTGACAAACATTTTTAGTTTAAAAATAAACAAGTGAAGTGTTGGGGAGCACCCAGTATTTCCTGAGGATGACCATGTTGCAGGCACTGCGCTCAATGTTTCTTGATCTTAATTTACTTAACAACCAAAACTACTTGTGGGTGCAGAATGGGGGAGGGGCTTCTTAGGAATTTCATCTGTTTTCTAGTTGAAGGAAATTTAAATCATTTGTCCAAAGTCAGAGCGAGAAAGAGGTTAAACTGAGGATTCCAAGCTGATAGTCATCTGATGGTTAACTCAGTATCTTAGCCACAGGAGAAACCATGTTGTTGTTGTTGTTATGTGCCGTGGAGTCAGACCCAATTCATAGTGACCCCTCCTTGGGTTTCTGAGGCAGTATCACTACGGAAGTAGATTGCCTCATCTTCCTTGTGAGGAGTGGCTGGTAGGTTTGATCTATCAGCCTTCTGGTTAGCAGTCAAGTGCCTAGGCACCATGCTACCAGAGCTCCTAGAGAAACCATAGGGAAAGCTTAATTTGTTTCTTTAAAGTTAGCTTATTAAAAAAAGTCTAAACCAAAAGAACCAGTGTCTGTCAAATTAATCCTGACTCATAGTGACTCCATGTGTTTCAGAGTAGAACTGCTCCACAGGAGTTGTCAATGCTGATTTTTTCTAAAGTAGATCACCAGGCCTTTCTTCTGAGGAGTCTCTGGGCAGACTCAAACTGCCAGCTTTTGGATTAACAGTGGAACTGCTTGCATCACCCCAAAACCAAACCCACTGCTACTGAGTTGAATCTGACTCACAGTAACCCCATAGGACAGAGTAGAACTGCCCTATAGGGTTTCCAAGGCTGAACTCTTTATGGAAGCAGACTGCCTCATTTTTCCAAGGAGTGGCTGGTGGGTCTGAACCACTGACTTTATGATTAGCAGCCAAACGCTTTGCTTTCTGTGCTACCAGGGATCCTTTGCATCACCCAGGTACTCCTTAAAAAAAAAAAAAAAATCTACTTGTGTCTAAATCACCACCACAATTTTCACAATGGCTAGCTTTACCAAGCCCATCCTTAGTTTGTTCCAGGCACTGTGTTAAGTGCTTTAAAACTTTCCACAAATCCTTGTGAGACGTGTACTATTACCCTCATTTACTGGAGGCTTTGAGCATTTAAGTAACTTGCCCAGAGTCACACAAACATTGTAGATGCAAAATCCAAACCCACATTAAACAGCTGAACAGCTTTAGTTACATTTCCTAGGCATAGTCAGTAAAAATATCTACTAAGATAACTATTTCCCCCTCAAGGTGTTAGAGACAAAAGAGTTGAAATTTCAATTTCTTATCTATGAAATAGATTAGATTAAAATAGGTTAGATATGAAATAGGTTAGACCTTCACTTAGGACTTTTCACTGCCAGCATTCTCTGCTTCCAAAAAACGTGTCCTGCAGGTGGGCTTCCATTTAAAGCAGGACTTCCAACAGGTTCATTCTGGTTAGACACCCTGCTGAAAATTTGCATTTCCGCCCCAGGTATATTGAATCAGAATGTACATTTTAACAAGAGTCTCAGGTGTGTATTAGGGACATTTATAAATTCCCAGGAGTAAAATAAATGCATTTCTGGGCCAACTTTTATCTAAAAACAAATAAAAATGAAAAGAAAAAGTAACTAGGAATTTCAAGAGTGGTGTTTTTGCACCTATCATCTCAGTTTTAGAGAGGTGCCTTAGTGAGTGCAGGAGAGAAAGCCCAGATACTGGGTTCCTTTCTTAGTTGCACCTGTTTTGGAAGGGCCTGGATTAACAAAAGAGAAAAACAAGCAGAAACTCGATCCAGTCCCTGTACCTTTTGGCACCAGTGCCAAGCGCCACCAGAGCTCGGCCCAGGCCTCCATTGCCCTGCCTGTGGCCGGTTCTGCGAGGCAACAATGGCTTCCTGTCTCCTTGGGCCCTGGGTGGGTCCCCTTTTCCCACGGCTCACCTGCTGGGAGCCAGGTGACGACCAACAGCCAAGTTCCCGGCAGCTCAGGACCCATGCCAGCCCCCTTCAGGCCCCTTTCAGCTCAGAGGCTTCATCAGCTGCAACCCAGGACAGCACCACTTCGCGAAGGAATTCCTCCTGTTTCCCCTCACTGAGCGCAGCGCGGCGGAAGGCACTGTTCTGGTCCCCGGGCAGGTGAGCCCCGCTCATCTCCACCTGGGTGCTCCCTGCGGCTCCGCCTCCAGCACCCAGCCGCCGCCGCTTCCTGCTCCGCCCCGGCTCGCACAGGACGCGGCCAACTTTCCTACCTGCCACGGCCCCCCACCTTCACCTCCCTGCAGTCTGACAGGTAATTCTCCTCCACATTAAAACACAGTCTCTTACGACTCACCCCTCTCGACGACAGTTTCACCTTGAGAAGTTACCATTTTCTTACAGAAAGAAGTTCTCCAAAAATTTCACCCTCAGAGTCTTATCTACGGAAGGTAGTTCCTACAGCAAGCACTGAAATTGCGCCCATACCCAAACATCTAACACCCATCTTTTAGATAACTTTACTATAATATCAGCTAAAAAGTATGAGGCAAGCTTGTTTATCTTAATACATAGGGCACTACATAAAAATTATTACTGTACCTTTTTTGCTTTCACTGATGAAAATTGGTCTATGATATGCGCAAAGTCATTTTTTTTCCCCCAGTATCTTCTTTTTCTACATTCAGCAGAGCAAGATCAGAGTCTTCCTGGAGCCATGGGAGCTCTTTAAGTATGAAATTATTAGTTTTCACTTGCTGAATTATGGTACCTCATAGCGGGCGATGGAAACTGCCCTGGTTAACAGACACTGCTCAGTAAGGAGCCACCTCCATCCCTTTCAGGTGGCGCCCAGGACATGTGATCCCATACCTTAGATACCCTCTGCTCACCCTGTCCCTATTTCTTGCTCTCTGCTTGCCAGAATTGGGAGCTCTAGTGGTGTAGTGCCTAAAGCATTTGACTGCTAACCAGAGACTGGCGGGCCAGAATTATCTGGTTATAACTTTTTTTTGGGGGGAGGGATAGTTCCTGCATCCTATTTCCATTCACTCGTGTGCGTGGAAAAAATAATTTTTCACTGAAAAGGATATTAATATGAAGTTTATGCATAATGTCTGTACAGGTTTTTCAGAAACTGAAGATGTAAGTAGGAACTAAAGAAACAGACTTTATCTTCTACAATGAAAAAAGTAACATGTTCGTTAAAGAAAAATTATAAAAATATAAACTAACGGAAATAAGAAAATCCAATTCCCAACACTCATGAGTAAAGCTCCTAAGGTATTGTTAATGTTGGTGTATTTCTTTTCAGACATTTAAAATGTTCAGTTTTGGTCTCCTGAGTTTTCTCAGGAGAAACATTAGAAGATAAACATCTCACTGAACTCACTGCCCGTGGAGTCGATTCCAACTCATAGTGACCTCTCCTTGGGTTTCTGAGGTGCTATCTCTACAGAAGTCAATTGCCCAGTCTTCTTTCCGAGGAGTGGCTGGTGGATTTGAACCACCAGCCTTCTGGTTAGCAGTCAAATGCCTTAGGCACTATACCACCAGAGCTCCCTATCCTCTTATTATTCCAAAATTACCATAAAGATTAATTTAGTTTAATATATTTCATTTTATGGATGTAATATCCTTCATTTAACTATTCTCCTAACACTGAAAAACAAATATAGTTGAAGTGAAATTGTATATACCAATAAGCAGTATATATGCTTAGATAATATCATATCTTTATGACATATGAGATACGGCCTTGGAAACCCTAAATTTTACTGTCTATCCTACAGGGTCGTTATGAGTCAGAATTGACTGGATGGCACACGACAACAATATTCACAATTTTTACCCGAGTCCTAATGAACAATCAATAAATAGTGGAGTTTCAAATAACAAAGTGATCAAAATCTACCAAACCAAAACCAAACCCACTGCCATTGAGTTTATTCCAGGAATCCACAATGTCATCCCCACATGGCAGGCTTTTAACACATTCAATCTCATTTTATTCCTCACAAAAGCCTTATAAGGGATATTTTATAGCCCACATTTTACAGATAAGGAAAAGATATTCAACGAAGTTGATGAGTAGCTCAAGGACACACTCTTACTAAGTGTTGGAGTCAGGATTTTAACTCCTCACCACCTCTGCCAAAGCAAAACAAACAAACAACCCCCCCTCCACACACACACACCCAGGTGCCTTCACTCTGCCCTGCCCCATCCTTCCTTTCTAATCTTCACTTTCCCAAATCCTTATTAATATGTAGATATTTAAAAAGGTATCTAATATGTGAAAGATTAATTAAAATCAAACCACATAATAATTTACACTCAGCCAAAATGGAATGTTACAATAATAATAAAATTTCAGACTATCAGACTTCTGAAAACAGTTAATGACTACTGATTAACTCATGTAAAAAGTTATCTTATAGGGGCACCATGACCTCAGGGAAGAAAAAAACTGGCCAAAAGGAAGGAACGAGCCAATCGTGAGACTTGGCTGACTAAACCCTATGACGTCTTAAACCTCGAGACAAAGGAATGAGGAGTTCAGAGAAAAGAATAAAACACCCTAACTCAGACAATCACTGCTTGGTCTCTCTAGTGCAGAGTCAGCCCATTTGCTTTGATGCTTGTATCTCTTAAATAAACTCTCCTTTTCTATTTCTTTGGCCTTGTTTCCCTTGGCATTGACAACCCAACCTTACAATATGAAAATATGTTTATAATAGTATTGAATAGAGTCATTTACAAAATGGTGCAAATGATGGGCTCCTATGTCTGTAGCTCTAATTGGAAAACTCACTGCCGTGGGGTCATATCTGACTCATACTGACCCTTCCTTGGGTTTCTGAGGCAGTATCACTACAGAAGGAGCTCTGGTAGCATAGTGCCTAAGGCACTTGACTGCTAATCAGAAGGCTGGTGGTTCAAACCCACCAGCCACTCCTCGGAAGGAAGGTTGGGCATTCCTACTACCGTAGTGACACTGCCTCGGAAACCCAAGGAGGGGTCGCTATGAGTTGGGGTCGACTCGATGCCAAATAACAACAACAACAACAACAATCACTACAGAAGTAGATTGCCCAATCTTCCTTCCAAGGAATGGCTGGTGGGTTTGAACCTCCAGCCTTCTGGTTAGCAGTCAAATGCCTTAGGCACTACACCACCAGAGCTGTAATTGGAGTAGGATTTAAAAAAAAAAAAACAACTTACTGTTGAGTCGGTTCTGACTCATAGCTACCCCCAGTTTTCCTTCCCTGGAGTGGCTGGTGGTTTGAACCGCCAGTTTTCTGGTTAGCAGTCAGATGCCTTAGGCACTACACCACCAGAACTCTCTGGAGTAGGATAGAGGGAGAGAAACTGAGGTTGAATTAGAGATTGTCAGGACTGAAATGTAAAAAAGGTGGCTATTTTCACGTGGTGAGGATCTATGGATATTTATTATTATTTATTTCTTTATTTTCATTTCCAACTTTATGCAAAGGAGGTAAATTATCTTTGTAAGAAAGAAAGAAAAATAAATGCCTTGCAATCTTCCTGGACTGGTTCAAAGCTTTTTAGCCTTCAAAGAACTTCTCTAGTTATCCCAGAGGCAAGTGATCACTTTCTTCCTCCAATTTCTAAGTCTATGACACTTACTGCGTTCTACCTTATCCACCTGTTGAGATTTGTAAACACTGATTTCCTCTTTCAATCTCCACATTTTCCAGCACAGTGCCTTATGCTATCGGTTGAATTATGTCCCTAAAAAAAGATATGTTAGAGTTCTAACCTCCTTCTCCCCACCCCACCACTTTTTAATGACTGTAAATATGACCTTATTTAAAAATACAGTTTTTGCCGATGTAATTAGTTAACTTGAGGTAAGATAGACCCGACACAGAGGGAAGATAACTATATGAAGATGGAGGCAGAGTGGAATTACACTGTTGCATAAGGCTACCAGAAGCTAAAAATGACAAGGAAGGGTCTTCCCCTAGAGCCCTCAGAGAGAGGTAGCACCCTTAGATCGGACTTGAAACAACTTGTAGAAGTCTGTGCAAAATATATTTCTATCATGTTAAGCCACCCAGTTTGTGGTACTTTGTCACAACAGTACTAGGAAACTAATACACCTTACCCCTAGTTTAAAAAAAAAAAAAACCATTGGTGAATGAATGGATGAATGAATGAACAAATCAGCAGCTTTCAGTCCTAGAATATCTCTTTGCAATCCTACGTGGAGCTCAGTAGCCCTCACAGACCTCAGCCAGCCATTTCATAGTGAAAGACTCTTGGTCTCTGTGCACCAGGCCACCTAGGATGGACTTCTTCCATGGTAGAAACCCCCAGGAATGGGTGAAGCGAAATAGGGGAGGAAGGCACTCTTCCCTTCAGGAACCAACCAACCAATGACACTTAAGTTGGAAAGCCACATATGTATTGCAAGTGGCACAGTGGTTAAACTCTCAGCTGTTAACCAAAACAACAGTAGTTTGAACCCACCAACCCTGCAGTGAGAGAAAAGTGAAGTCTACTTCCATAAAAATTACAGCTTTGGAAACCCTATGGGGAAGTTCTACTCTGTCCTATCAATTATGAAGGTGTGTTAAACACAGCTTCTTTCCCTCAGAAAGCTCCTATTCTGTTCACTGATACTAGAAATCAACATAGTTTCTTCAAAGCCCATCTCTGCCCTACAGAGGTAAAGGCTCCTCCCTGTTGGTGCTGCTGGTGTCCCTCACTGCCTTCCAGTGATTGACTTCTGCTCCTCACACCCAGTAGAGTCCTTGTCCTGGATCTGATTTGAGGTCTCAACCAAGTCCCCTCTTTTCTATCTCCCCTTTCCTCCTCCATTCCTGGGTCTGGCGTCTGGTTCCCTGGATGAGCTTCTTCACTTAAAATGTTTTCCTTATAGTCTCTTCTCTTCTCTTCCAGAAAGTAGGAAGTAAATTCAGGAAGTGGTTGGCCAATGCCAGATAGTAAAATATATTTAGGAGTCTTGAGCTCTTCCACAGCAGAGGGGACACAGTAGCAGCAGCAGGACCCTCACCATATAATATGAGTGA